GAACTGAATGTAAGTCATTGGAATTTGGGCTATATAATATCACGAGTTAGATCAGTCTCGAGATTTTATTTTGCGCCTGACTTTATAACCCTAAAGAGTCTTACACTTTGTCCTACACAAAACCTAACATTACTAAAAAGTTAGTAGTCTTATATCCTGTGAGTTTACAAAAACTCATGGACAACACGGAAATCTATCTTCCAAAAAATTAACACAACAACGCTGTTACAGCGGGTTAAGGGGTGAAAACTGCAACAAAGAATTATCGTCCGATAAACTAATGAAAACTGATGTGCTCGAATCATTAGACATAACGTAATCATCATTTATTTTTCTGATTATTGTGCAGTACGTACGTACACTCTAAATTAACATACTTGTCTGTGAGGCGCCGCCCCTGGTAAACATCGTTGTGTTTAGGCAATGAAAAAAAAAATTGCTGAATACGAATTAAAGCGCCTATTACAATGAGTTAGATTTGTAAACAGTGTGCTCGTTCTAAATTCCTAATTGCTCGTATGAAAAGAAACATCTCAAGTACTAAGAACAAAAAAAAAATTGGGGAAAGTGTGAATGAAACTTGAATTTATCGATGCAACGGAAATATAATGATTCTCTTGGAACAATATACTAACAAGAGTAAGTAAAATCTGCTATAGTGCCAAAAAAGCAGAACAATAGAACCGACCAGCGGGCAATTAAAAAGCTGTTATAGTGCTGAAAATAATGATTCTCTTTCCTTTGCAACTCAATTTCAGTTTTTGAATCCGTTAAGTTACGACCAAGCATCAAGTAACACACGAATCATTGCAAGTCGCCTCAAACGATTTATAGATTTCCTGTGGAGCAGCAATACGTCGACTAATTGGGATTTCTCAGATATCCATCTCATTGGCCACAGTTTGGGTGCACATATAAGCGGTATGACTGGGAAATTGGCGAAGGAGTCCTTTTGTGGAGGTCAAACTTGTATTGGTAGGATTTCCGGTAAGTGTATGTGACCGACTGATTGATTTGTTTTGCGAGGGAAAGATGAGCTGAAGTGTATGACAGTAATGATGTCATAGTTTGTATGCCCGAATGTATGAATAAATGACTGTCCAACTGACAGACTTGCTGATTGGCTGAGTGGGTTGGTGTTTTTTTGGGGTTTGTGTCATTCCATTTCATTGGCGGATTATTGCACACATCTTTTTTAGTTCCATTCGAAAATGGGGACTATTAATTTGGGGTCCGTCCTGTCCGTCCGGAGTCATATCTCAAACATTAATTCACCGATCTCATTCAAACTTTACACAAAGACAATACATCATATATTCCAGCTGTTTCCCAACGGCCAACGGTAAATGTTGATAAAAATATGCTAAATCACGATTGTTACGTGTCAGTAGCTGTTTCGCAGGCATGTTCAAAATGATTTTGGTCAAAGTTTGTGCGATGGTCATACATAATGAGTTACAGTTGCATATATTTTTTTTCGTGATTCGAACAAATTTTGCCGACTGACGGCTATTTTGTATTTTTTACATATTTTATAACCTTTTTAGATATATGCTTTTATGGATTTTGTTTAAATTCGGGTCAAAGGGCAAGACATAATAGCAAACATGAGCACATTCATTTGGCTCTCATTTTCATGACCTCTGAGGGTAAATGGCATCTAGAGAGCGTTGTTTTGTTTTCATACTGTACTCAGTGAGTAACACTTGCAACATTTAATTATAATCTACATCTGTCATTGTTTACACAGTTACCAAAAACTGGACGGAGACTATGCCATTCACAATGACTTTTCACTCTTGTATCTTGACAGAAATCGCACTTATAGCCCAGTATTCACTGTCGACGAAATCAAACACAATGTCGTTGTTTCTGTCGCGTTTCCAAGGCAGACGGCAAAAATATTGGTTTGAATTTTAAATTGACGCGGCTTGTTATAACAGGCGCGCTGATTGATTGATCCAGCTTCTAGACTCGCTAATCAAATCATTAAATTTCACTGAGGTCAAATACATGCGATTATGCGAATTGGATTGGTTATTGATTTAACATTTTGATTTTTCAGTCAGTGAGTGATCCAGTCGTTAGTAAATCATGTTTAAATTAACATTCATTGAAACACGTAAAAATACACAAATTAAAATAAAACTAATTATTATTTAAAAAAAATGAAGATAATGTTAGCAAGCTTAACTGAAGTATTGTAAGGATATATGAACACTAGTGTGCCTGTATTTGTTATGAATTTGAAGTTTGTTTTTTAAGTAAGTCATGTATGTTTATGATTCTATATTTATTTGGCATTTTATAATTGAATGAGACATTTGGATAATAAATTCATCTCAAACTCAATAGTAGTTATAATCGCATTATTGCTGCCCTGAATTGTGTAGCCGTCCCAGCCCTTTCTACACATTTAATACTCCATGCCCTAGGTACCATCAAGTGTTAGTAGTTGTTTAATTAGTTGTTTAACATTTAACAATATATATGTAACTTCATAAAGATGACCAAATCTTACTAAATATAGTTTGCAATTGCATGGACAAATACACCCTAAACATGTTTAACGTCACATGAAATGCGATGTGTAAACTGCAAATCCAGTAGTCGCCATTTTCCTAGAAATCGGTCACGCACAATATAATGAGAAATCCTCGAGGTGCGCTTGACAAAACTGGATTTCAATAGATGGCACCCTCTGGAGACTTTGACCCAACTCCGCAGCCATCTCACCTGACGCAAATTGCCTTCATCAATTGGTAGTATTGTAATGCATGTTAATAAATAATGAATAATTACATAACGCCGTAATTTCAGGTTTGGATCCAGCACGACCCAATTTCCTGGAGGCCCCTAGCACTGCGGGTGGCCAGAGAACGCCAGGAGTATACTGTCTTGGAAAAGAAGATGCTATTTTCGTGGATATTATCCACACGGACGCGACAGAGGCGAAGGATAAGTCGAATAGTATTTGGGGTCCGTTAGGGATATACCAGGTAACCGGCACTGTATTATAGCCTAGAACATCGATGTATAAATGTAAACAAATGCCCTTGAATCCACGAATACTAAATTTGCAGTGATTACATTAATGATTTATTTGCAGCCTTTGGGTGACGTGGATTTTTATCCCAATGGAGGTAATGACCAACCTGGGTGTGTTGCTTATTGTGATCACGGGAGAGCTGGCGACCTGTTCACTGCTTCCATCAACTCTCAATGTACTTTCACGGCAGATGACTGTGATAGTCTTTTGCAGCTGAAGAGTAAAAGGTATGTTGGAGATTCCTATACAAATAGATGAATGAATGGCTTACATATCATTTGGTCATATTTGGTCATGTAATCTCTTTATTATGTAATATTAGAGATTTTACTGAAAATGAGTTAACGAAAATGAGTACGAAATCCGTACCAATGTTTGCCTCCCATACAAGACCTTCTTTTTTAGGACACAATGTGAAAAACGATTGTCGCTTGCGCACCCATAATATTTGCAGGTCTGCATCTCTCTGGAACACAGCTTTGCACAGGACCCGTGAATAAATTTCATGGTTTCCACGTAGTTTGCTGCCAACGAGAACGAATCGTGACCCCCCAGAAAGTTTTTGAGTGAATACCCCTATGTTGTCATGGATTAATCAGACGATATTACGTCACGGTGCTACACTTAAATTGTCAGTCTCAGTCGCCTAAGGGCGTTTTTATTTAGAACAATGGCGACGTACGTAGCCTTTGTGAGACATGTATAAAACCCTTCGAACTCGACACGCACACAATTTTCAACAACAAATACATTTTTATTAAAATCACATACACATAATATTAGGCAACTATAAAAAATCGCAACATTGACCTTCCCTTTAACATTCTTAGCGAACGGGAGTTGTTTTCAAGGTTTATTTGAGTAACCTTGTCTTCACTTCGTAACTTTTTAACTATTACTAACTTGTTTTGTATCTTAATAGTTGCAAGAAATGTACCTCTGACTCTTGTCAACGCATGGGTTACTATGCGACTAAAGTGATATCTCCATCCCTATATTATTTAACTACAACAGGAGACGATCCTTTTTGTGGTGAGTAGTATGTTTGCCGTAACTCGAAGTTTGGTTAACTGTTAATTAAAGTTCGAGTTACTAAATTTTAACCTTAAACAAAACAAAACAACAAATCTATGTTGTCGAGGTTCGATTAACTGTTAATTAAAGCTCGGGTTACTAAATGTTGTAGTCCAACAAATAACAAAAATATATATTGGCCATAACTTGAAGTTTTGTTAACTGTTAATTAGGCATCGAGTTACAATTTGGACGTAGTTATGCAAAAGTGGACGTCGTTTCTAAAATATGAGCGTGGTCATTTTGGTAACTCGATGTTTTTGTAACGCGATGTTCGTAAGGGAGGTGATCAAATCAAACCATCGTTTTGCAAGGCCGGTATCCGCTGAGCTCCAGGGAGCTTCGAGGGGCTGCTTTGTCTTCCGGGGAGGTCCGAGAAATATGCAAATGTATGCAAGAATATTGATGAGCTTTTTCGCGAGCGGACTGGAACAAATTGAAAACTCATTATTTAACTTCAAAAGAACATTAATTGCTGTTAGGACAACTTAAAAGTAAATAAAAAAAAAATCATGAACGCTCATACGTTTGTACATTGTTTTAGACATCATAGCACAAAGGTTTCTGCTGACCTATTTCTTAGCAATATTCACAGCTACTAAGCAACATTGATAAAACGCTTGGTCGGCGGTACACATTTTCCAAAGTATAAAATATACCATTACTCCCGCATTCTACAATTATTCACGACCTCATTAAAAGGTAATTAATAAAATTAGCGAAGATATGGAAGCTCCTCGGCGCTCCCCGGATACTGGGCCGGAAACCACTAGTTTGATTTTGATGATTTCCCTAACTGGATGTCCGTAACTCGTACAATTCAGCATCTCTGTAAACACCAACAACAAATAAAAACAGTATTCCCGTCCGTTGCTGTGCTACTATGCCAATGATATCGCTGCTAGTAACTAATGGCAATTCATACTACTAATTATTGTATTATTGAGAATAGATTGCGGGAATTATGGTGAAGATGGTATATTCTGTTCTGAAATATTCGGCAAAGTTCCCGAACACGGTATTGATGTGACGTTTCGATTATATACCCGAGACATAGACGGCGATGTTTTCAACTTTCCGGCCCATACTTTGAATAGTAATTATATGCAGGGGAAACCGATCAAGGTAAGATTTAATGTATATAATTCTGTTTTAGAAGTGTGTACAAATTTGTTAAATTTCGTAATTAGTATAGCATAATTCTTAAATATTCACCGTTCGTCGAAAATATTACCGGCGCCACCATGGAGCGTACTGTCAAAGGGAACGTCGTAACTGACGTGACGCCTGAAGGGATTATTGTCATCGATGGTTAGCTTCGCTAATTACAGATATTTAGAAATCATACTCAGCGAAATAAGAGTGTTACACGTACAATATTCACAACTGTCGGACGAAACTTGGCCAATATATTAAGCTTTCAGTCGTGTATATAACAGCATAAGACATTTGCTCAAAAACTGGATTTTAATTAGTAAATTAATGTTAATTAATTAGCGAAACGAACCATTTACTGATTAAAATATTCAAATGAGAGACAAAAATATGTGACTCGGATGCTTGTATACCAACCAGGATTTAGTTAGGGATTACATATTTGCAAATCGGGGATTTGTAAACAGCTTTGCTTGTACTGGAAAGATTTGTTTGTTTTTGCAAATATTTTATTTACATATGCCTGTCGACATTTTTTGTTTTTATTATTCACATTTTCTATAACATTATGCAGTCAATTTATTTTCCTTTTCACCATTGTCATTTCCAGTCTATCCCCAGTTTTTAAATCGAGAGTCCCATAAACGTAAGGTCTATATTCAGCCCAAGCTATCCAACCTGATTGGTTTCAAACCGTCTATTGTTGAAAACTTAAATATTATTTAGTATGTATGTTTGGATAAATACACCGACCCCTTGCCAGGTGTTCGGCACGACAGCTACAGTCTGTGATTTTGTTCCCAAGCCACTTACTTATCTCGTGTTCGGTCAGGTTTTAACCACAGCCTTTATCTAGACTCGCTACCATCGATTATATGTTGTGAAACTATTGACAATTTTCTCGTATACGTCTCGAGATTGGTTATGTGTATTCACCATGATGTGACTCGGAGTAGTTATAATGCTCGACATGAATATAGTATAACATATATAATATCCTTATTACATATACACCACGGTTTGTAGGTTAATTGTTCACATTTGCGTTCACCAGGCTGTTGAACGCAGAAGGGAGTCATTATAACCTATCACAATCATAAAACAAAATGTATTATGATTTGTATTGCTTCCTTTATTGTTATGTTATTGTTATGTTATCCTGAGACTTACAGTTAGTGGTTACAGTTTCATCATTGTTACAATGTTACAATGTACAGTAATGACGTAATATAGTATTAACGTAAACATGAAAGATTTTTTACTCGAATATTCATGGAGAAATTCTCAGAGAAAAGAGTACATGCATTTGAAAATTCAGTACGAACGCTGGTATACATTTACCCAGAACGCCCACTATACATATAAGCGCAAACCACAATTTCTTTGGGTCTGTGACATAAACCCATCTCTCTCAGCATAAGAGCGGCATTCTCTCACGTTTTAGAAATATGATTGAAGGAGTGCTAACGAAATGCATACGGCGACTTGCTGTTGAATTCAAATTGGTAAGCGTTGTAAGTTATTTTCTGTTTTTTCTTTTACTATTCCAGTTTATTGTTCACGGCTTTTCCGACAAGGGAACGGCTACGTGGGTGATCACCATGGTCAGAAAGCTGCTGGAAGTTGGCGATTTTAACGTAATAACTGTTGACTGGGACGATGCTTCACATACGGTATATAGATATATATATATATGCTTCTCACGTCGCATTTAAATCACCACTGATAGGTAAATGACGGCTATGGTGACGCTAATTGGCGGGTTGTTAGGTCGGCCTTAGCGTCCGAGTTGCCACATATTAACAAAGTAATACTGCGAATTTGGCGAGTATTACGTGGTTTTCCTGCAGCCCCCATCGCGGGTTGTGTGATGTCACGGTGCACGTGTGATCAATGACTTGTAGAAAGCACACCTGATTCGTGTACATATCACATTAAACTACATGTTGCTTCCAACAGCAAACCACCTGTTTAGCCATATATTACCCAAAAACGCTATTACAGAGGGGTAATGGGTGAAAACTGCAACATAGAACAACTGTGCTCGAATCACGTGTGCGTATAAATAAATCCGGGTGCTAGCGTTTTTCTTTTTATATATAAGTTTAAGAAATATGAATTTAAGCGGGATTGTCGATTTGGGCTAGATTTATAAACACTAGACATGACGTAATCATCACATTCCACGGTAATTTTGCAGAACGTATTTGATAAATATCCTTACAGTTGAATTCATACTTGGATGTGAGGTGGCAATTAGGTAATGAAAACATCGGAAAATAAAATTTGGGGAAAGTGTGAAACTTGAATTTTTATCATATGCCCCCAGTGCAACGGAAATATAATGATTCTCTTTTCTTTGAAACTCAATTTCAGTTTTTGAATCCGTTTAGTTACGACCAAGCTTCAAGTAACACACGAATCATTGCCAGTCGCATCAAACGATTTATAGATTTCCTGCGGAGCAAGACGTCGACTAATTTGGATTTCTCTGATATCCATCTCATTGGACACAGTTTGGGTGCACATATAAGCGGTATAACTGGGAAATGGGTGAGAGAGTTCTTCTGTGAAGGTCACCCTTGTATTGGCAGAATTTCCGGTAAGTGTTTAAGACTGAATGATTCGGTTGGTGAGGGAAAATGAGTGAAAGACCAGTGAGTGAGTCACTGCCAGTAGGCAACTGTTTGCCTGCCTGATTGTATGAACGAATGACTTTTCTCGAATGACTTGACTGACTGACTGACTAACTGACTGACTGACTGACTGACTGACTGGTGAATTTTATTCAAGTTTGGTGGATCATTGCAGACATATTCGCCAGCAAATATTCATTTTTTCGGCCGACGATTTACCATTATACTTATGTCGTTACAAAATCACTGATTGATAGATTCAGCCCAATGAAATCATTCAATATAACTACAGTTTTTCCTAACACAATCACGCCCGGGCTCGCTGAGACGGCCATAGATTGTCGGCTTCCACGAAACCGTGCGAATCTGACGACGCATCACAGATAGAGTCAATGAACAACATAATTATCCAGCTATGCAGCTGGCACAAGCACTGAATCACAAGTAAAAATATATCTAGTTAAGTCGTTGGATCAACGAATATGGAGCTATGTGAGTCAGTTTAGAGGCTGGCAACTAAGTATATACTACAGTAGCGAGAGTTTTCAAATATAATGACATATAATGTCAGGTAAGTTGGTTAAAATTCAGCTTTTCCGAAGAGATAGAGGCAAGGGAACGTTACTCGCATCATGCTAGTATCTACAAAAATAAACACCACAAGTTTAGTCAAGACAATGCAATGTTTATTCACCACTTGCAATGTTGATATGTACATCTTTTATGTTTGAGTGGGAGCAAACAATTATTATTTTTTACTGCACTGGCTACTAGCTATTGGGTAAACGACAATTGATATACGTACTGGAATTGTTAATTGTCTAAATGAAACATACGTTGCGCAAATTATGATAATTTTTATTCAAATCATTCTATTTTCAAAAACGTTGGGGTTTGTTAGTCTGGCAAATCAGTGTTTAAGTTGTGATTTCGAAATTTTCTATCTTTCTGAAAATCGCGTCGACTTGTTTTGGGTCAGCATTTTTTTCGCCCGTTAAAACATTTGTTGTTCAAATATTATTCATACTATTCATACTATTTTCAGAACCATTGGCGTGTTTCAGTTTGGCAAACGTCTGAAAATCATCCAAGACCGGAAATGGTAGACCAGGCTTGTATTCGAAGTCATATTCTGGTTTTCGAAAAAAATAAACGTCTGTCATTGAAATCATCGTATTTTTTTAGTTGAATCATACTGTTTTTAAGAACATTGGCATGTTTGAGTATGGCAAATGATTCTGAAATTTTCGAACTGCCTGGAAGTCATTCTAAAGTCGGTTGACTTTAAACCAAAGTGCGTCTTTGGGGTCAAACAGGTGACATTTTGTTAATCATCTCACCGTTGCGTGAATTATGATTTTGATAGGCCAAGGGACTTTAGACAGAAAGAAAGAAAGAAAAACGAATGGCAGTCAGTCACGCTTTGTTTAGTCTATGAATCTTATGACGTTCTTGCTGTTTTGTTTTACAAGCCTTTGCCTGTCGCAGGGTTACAAGTTTTTTACGGCTTTTTGTAAGCATATCTGTAAGTACATCGACGTTTTCTAGAAGTTTATGTTTTTCATATTACGATAGCGTTAGCTTAGTGATAGTTTTTTTTTTGGGGGGGGGGATGCGACTAAAACTGAATCTTGAAATTCAACACTTAACTTTTTAAAACGTGGCGCACGAATACATCTGCTGAGACACATTCAATTTAACAGAAAAACGAACTATGAGGAATTATGAAAAATAGCAGAACCATAATTGCAAAATCTATTTGTTTTCACAAAAAACAGATACAGACAAAAACATATACTTTATTGTTTTTTTTGTAGCCATTTAGTCACAGTCGGAAGATGAACACATGTATTCAAATATTACTCTTGCTTCTCTAAAGGGCGGTAGCCGTCGCGGGTGCATGTACGACATTTGTTGTCGATAAACATTGATTTTCCCACACTTCAATGCGCTTTTCTCGTGAAAATTACGAGTACGAATACCTGGGTGTAACGTGCAATAATTACGTCGGTGACTCCTTTGATCAATCCTTTTCCAATCACCAAAGATATGTCATAGTTACAGCTTAGTAACGTCTTAGTTTATACTCGTTGGTCTGCACAACAGTCAAAGTCGCCATCTTTGTTCATATGAGTCTCATATCTCGCGCATGCGTGGCGCGACGACCACCGCCCATTGATTATACGGACCTTTATGGAGAGAAATGGGTGATTTAAATATGGTCAAATAATATACTAATATTTTATAGTAACAGGGCGGTAGGTATATAATGACGTTCATTGAACCACGTGAATATTGTTCATACATACAAAATTAGGATATTTGGAAAAAAATTCACAAAGAAATAAGATTGATGCTGATACAACAAGCAACTGCATCAGGTATGAGGCAATATATTTCGATTTTTTTGCAATCCTTTCCATACCCTAGGTTCCACACAATGTAGCTTGCAAGAAATCTTAATGCAACAATAGCTATGATTTTGAACATTTGTTTATTTGTATATAACTCCATGGAATTATGACGCACTACGCACAATATTATTGGGAATGACACACGTAATTCCTGAAGTTCGCTTGCAAATCCGAACGTCAATACATGGCGCCTTCTAGAGACCTGGACCTGAACTCCGCGGCCATCGTTTTTCACTTGCATTGGCATATATTTAGCGTATATGCCATGCTTTCAGTGTCCACATTTCGGGGAAGGCCGTTACAAATTGACACTGATGACACAGGAATGTTTAATTAAAAATAAAAATTGAAGAAAAAAATGTAAAAATGTCAATGCATGTTGTTAAATAATGAATAATAACATATCGACGTAATTTCAGGTTTGGATCCAGCACGACCCAATTTTCTGGAGGACCCTAGCACTGCGGGTGGCAAGAGAACGCCAGGAGTATACTGTCTTGGAAAGGAAGATGCTATTTTCGTGGATATTATCCACACGGACGCGACAGAGGCGAAGGATAAGTCTAATAATATTTGGGGTCCGTTGGGGATATACCAGGTAACCGGCACTGTATCATAGTATACCCTAGAACCTAATTTAGAATTTAAAACAATGCCTTGGAATTCATGAAAACTACCTTTGCAGTTAGTATTTATAGCGTAATTAAATATCAGTAATTACATTACTGATATTTTGCAGCCCCTGGGTGACGTGGATTTTTATCCCAATGGTGGTAACGACCAACCTGGGTGTTATTTTTATTGTGACCACGGGAGAGCTGGCGACCTGTTCACTGCTTCTATCAACTCTCGATGTACTTTCACGGCAGATAATTGTGACAGTCTTTTGCAGCTGAAGAGTAAAAGGTATATGGGCTATTCTTACACAAAAGAACAACTAATCGAGTGAGTGTTTGAGCGAGTGAGTAAGCGAGTGAGTGAGTGAACGAACAAACGTATACAAGAATGAATGTACAAAAAACAAATTATAATTTATTAATTAACCTGTGTGTTTATGTGTGTATGTCTCTTTCACCAAAAAACATCGTGTGGGACAAAGCACAGATGTGATTAGTTTTCTGTTGAAATCTGTGCATATTAATAACTTAATTTCCATAATAATTAGCTTTCCATGGATATTTCACAAACTACGCATAGAATTCTAATAAAACCTAATCCATCGATACCCTAGGGCAATGCATAGATATAATAATTTGGCATATTAATAACCTTGAATAATCAAACTGACATCTCAAGAACTAATTTCAATGAAACGTGGTTCATATTTGCACTTGGTCAATGCTCAGACCTGATTAGTTTTGGGTTAAAATCTGTCTATAATAATTAGACAATTAGATCTTAATCCTAATGTTTGGTTTAGGGCTGATTTTCATTAAAACTTATATCCTAATTGCATAAATTAGCAAATTTGTGGATGTTCCACTGATATCTCCAGTATCACTCACAACATTTAAATGAAACTTGGTACATTGATACTCTTGAATATGTGACATACCCTATTACGCCGAGGTTGGAACCCAAGCATATGGATTACACGATTTGCATGAATTGGTCAATGTGACCTCATTTGCATAACTTATATTTCAAGCCATTTTGAAAGGGCGGCGGATAGTTGTGTTGCTAAACATCGACTTTTCCATAGTTCAATGCACTCTTCCAATGGAATTACGAGTACGAGTTTTGACCGTTGATGACTCCTTCCTTACCTTACAACATGAGACCCATATCTCGCGCATGCGTGGCGCGACGACCAACGCCCTTGAGGACAGGGACATGCAACCAGTGCCACAATAACGGCATTACACTAAAAATGTAAATAACTCACACAAGATCATATATGGTCACATCATTAATATGCATAATTATAATTTTAGAGAACTATTGTTGATATACACATGCAATGCTGTACGGGCGGAATTGCACAAGACTCATTGATCACGTGGTCATAAGTGGCAATGTGACCTTATTATTATGCGTAAATATTATATGTAAAGCATATTTTTAGTTAGAAACAATTGACCATATATGGTCATGCTACTCAAATGGTAAGCATAACTTTGCAATCAATACTATAATGATGCTGTCATTTTACTAAATTATCAATTCATCATTTTTAAGATATTTAAATGACAGAGATGAGGCTATGGACAAAATTAGACATAAATGATTTGAAGATATGCTAATAGAGTGAATACAATCTTAGTTCACGGAAGTTGTTTCCAAGGTTTCTTTGATTAATCATGTCTTTATAACCTTTCAACTAACTTGTTTTGTATTTTAATACTAGTAGTTGCAAGAAATGTACCTCTGTCTCTTGTCAACGCATGGGTTACTATGCGGTCAATTCGACGCCCCCGTCTCTATATCATTTATCTACAACTGGCGACGATCCTTTCTGTGGTGAGTAGTAATCACGTGTGAATATGCGAATAATAACGTAAGGTGAAACTGTGTTGTTCACTTTGAGATTTTGTCTTCCTGACCTTGAGCGTCTCATTAGGTTCAGCAGGTGTGTAATCTGAAATTGAACAATTGTGAAGTTAGTATTTTAGCTTTTGAATAGACAAAGGTAATCTCAACACTAATAATTCTATAGTAACAATTATTATGACTGTACTGTACTAATACGTACAGCACTGTAAGATAACATAACTGACCGTTTAAGAAAATGTTACTAATAATTGTACATGTGAAGTACACAATATATGCGCGTCTGTACGGCAATATAGTGGTATATAATGTTCACGATGACTATCAAATGAAAATAAAATATAAAATGTTTAATTTTGTACTTTATGATGCTGAACTGATTTCGATTTGAATACCTTTATTTGTCAAGTGGGGCCAGTTTGCAGTTAAAACGCAAGTCGCAACAATGCAGTTAATTAGTTTATCAGTTTATTATTATTATTATATATTGATGCTTGCATTTCAAACTTTGCAAACATTTCATACGTAATTTATATGTGTAAGGTATAAGACTTATTATCTTTGCAGCTCATACGCTTGGGTGTTACGTGGACCAAATGTCTTCACCAGACATGGATCACAAATCAACGTCGCTGGATATATCATCAGTTAGAACATGTCTATCTTACTGCCGATCAAGAGCATATGTCTATGCAGGGCTGCAGTACACCTCGTCTCAGTTGAGTTGTTGGTGTGGGGACACGTATGGGAAATATGGAAAAGCTAATAGTCCCTCGGAGTGTTCTCATACGTGTCGCAATTCTGTTGAAGGAATATATTGTGGCGGGAATCTTCGTAATTCAATTTACGAAACAGGCAAGCATTTATGTAATCAATGTGTGATGGTAGATATTACTTCCCTAAAGCTGGAGCCAAGAAACGATTTACCTACCTTTTCGTGTTTTTTGATTTTGGTCATCATAATCGTAGAACGTTGTTGCTGCGTGGAAAATAGCAAGTATACACACGCTCGGATTTACCATTGTGTGCGATTTGTTAACTTACAAAATCTTAGTAACATAAACATCATCTTACCAATTTATCCGTAGGTTATATCGGTTGTGTAGAGGGTAAGACAATTTCATTTAACCATGAAGTAACCTCGCAAGAAAGAATGTATCCACAGCATTGCTTGGCTAAGTGCACCAAAGAAGGGTACGAGTATGCTGGCTTGTCTAAAGGAGACACGTGTTCTTGTGGAAACGATCAACAGTTTAGGTGAGACAGTTTACAAGTTTGTAGACAATGACCGCTACTTCGGTTCTTGCTTCACGTTGAAATTCTCCTGTGTACCCCAAAACAGTTTGTTTAAAGCATTTTTATAAACCCCAAATCATCATATCACTACTCTGGTTTTGGAATCGCACATACATTATTTCTGTGTTTTTTCAGCAATCTAGTGGATAGGTCGCGTTGTGCGACGCCTTGCACGGGTACAATAAAAGGTCAACTATGCGGCGGAACGAGCGAAGTGGCTGTTTTACGCACAGGTAAAATGAAATGAGCATCGGCAAATCATAGCGTTAATTACATTATTGACGAAATATCGGTTTTTGGCATCTAGAAAATACAGAACAGCGAAACACAACAAAACTATTATTATCAAAAAAAAATATTGTAGTACATAAATGTAGATTTTTATGTATTTTGGGAGCTATTTGGGGAGACGAAAAAAAAAACATGTACTAAAATAAGTTACAGCAGAAACTTTACAATTTTCCTGAATTTGAACTTGTTTTTGTGGCGAAACAATTACGTATTTTGTACTACTACACGTTCATGAATGATTGTGTCCTGACTGCTGGCATGGAGGGAAAAGTAAACAATGGTTACAATGTTCACCATTATTGTAATAATGTAATATCAGTAATAAATTATACTTGTAGTTATAACTAGTATACAATTATGATTATAGATTACACTCATTGAATATTTAAATATCACTATCGATTGGAATTGTTTTATATTTTCGTCACAGGTATCGAACACGCCTGCATAGATAAAGCTAATAATGGCGACTGTGATTTCTTCAAATGTTTTAGCGAGCGACATAGTACATGCTCTAAGTATGACATTGGAGGCGTACTGTATAGCAGATGTCAGGGACTCTTCGAATCGGTAGGTAGATTAATAGGGAAAGGGTGAAGTGCTATATGGTGATTCATGTTGTGTATATTAGTTTACAAAAATGTAATGGCAAATGGGACTGAATTTATCTGTTCGGATGTTATCGCATTTTAATCTATAACATTGAAAACAAGTCGCTGTAATTGATTTTAAATATAGTTTTTTTTTTGGTAAAGCGCTGCTAGTTGTTTGTTCTGTTCGATTAACGTTTCGAATAATGTTTTTCGACTTGTCAACTGGCTTTTCTCCAGTATATCCCACGCTGTATTTAGTTTAAAACTATGTCAATGCTGCAATGTTATTCATTTTCTAGATCCGATACATATTATCCGACCGTGAGGCAATATTCGCGTGTGTTGCTTCAAAGATGTTGGATGAATATAAACAGTTGAACCAGACATATAGTACTACAGAATGCAAAAAGATGTTTGACGACGGGAAAAAGCACTACAAGTCATGTGCGAACCAGGCTGAGCCCAACCAGTCAAATAAACGCCGATCAGCCTCGTCCGAGGAAAATAGCTTTTTTGATCGCCTGAAAGATTCCGACAACTTAGACGACTATAAAGCGAGCATAGATAATTTAGTTGCTGCAGTAGAATCGGATCCGGACAGCGTTCTTTTGGAATTTATGCAGGAAGAGGTAGAGGAACTGACTCTGTATTTCCATCGCAGTGGTTTCCATACCCATGACGACGTTTTACAAACAATTATGGATGCAATTGAAATGAAAATGGTGGAAGGAGCCCCTTCAATCAATTCCAAATCTAGTAAGTCATTTTGATTAAGAGTGTAATAGATTTCTTTGAAGGAAAAAAACAACACGTAACTTGTCGTTTACAATAAATATACTAGTTATAGCTTAACAAACTATATGTTTCACGTCATCCTTTAAAACAACAAACTATGCTCGCCCAGGTGTCAAATTCAAACACAATGTTTTCTACAATTTTCTCTACGACGTTTGTACACACGGTTTGGAACAATCCGAATTGTGGAATCAAGTGCAGAAATAATTGTGAGTGGGCATACCTAATTCACGTTGACACCAACAATATTTGTCGATCCGATTATGGATAGAATGTCGTAAAAGTTACATTAACTCAGATATATTTAATCGGCACCTTTCTTTTAAATCGTTCTTCATTTTTCTTTCCATGAAGGTTAACTGCACCTATAACTAATAAAACTCTTAACTTCATGTACATGTGTTTATGTGCACATGTCTCTGGTAATCCCCGGTACAAATATTTGCAAGATTAACAATTACCCATCCTAACATATTCGCAAAATTCAGAGAATGTAAATAACTTTATGTTGGATTATTATACTCATGTATTTAAGATATTATATAAATCTTTCTCAATAAGCATGGACGTGTTATTAAGTCTATCCATTTTTCACTTTCAATTATTTATAGGTAGCGGCGATTCCTGTGAGGATTTAGCTACTGGCGGTAACTGTGCCTTCTTCGATTGCTTTGAGAACCGATTTCCGTGTGATCCATCGGGATTTGCTCTCTCCTTTGGAAAGGTTTATTGTGAACAAGAAAACAAATACAAAAAATACCTGAAAGCTACAGTGAGTACCAAATAGACGACTAGACGATCAACGTGATTTCATTGAGTGTAGCTATGTATATTTAATTTATTATAATTCGTGCGAGTTTATTTCTCCTGCCGAAACTTCTCAAGGCTTAGTGAAACATGTCTAGATAATATAACAATACTACACTGTGACAGTATCATTGTAAAACTATGTACAGTTTTTCTAACAACAGGCGTACGTAGTAAGAATGATTGACTGTCACATTTATAAAGGATGAACCACTCTTACATGTTTTGTATATTTTTTTTAAATAGCATAACTATTTATTTCTTTACAGGGTGGCATATCTATACAAAGTGTGCAAGATTGCGTGATGAATGCCATGTGGATTGAATACCAGAAAGACGAGAACACGTGTAAAGGAATCGAACTCACCATGATCGCCGCTTACCGTGACTGCTATGACCAATACTTGGATTGTGATTTCGTACGAGATAACCAGTTCCATTTGACAAACATGTATGCCCTACCAAAACTATCAAGTACAAGGTTACAGGACGTGGCTAAGAGTCTTGTAGTTACGACTTTGTGTGATAACCACGGCTCTACCCTTTATTCAGTCATCGACAACATAAAATTCTTGGTAAACTAGAATAATAACTTTTTAATGAATTGTAGTATGATTTCACTTTTTTGAATCATTTCCAGCATATTCTAGATGTTATTTTAATGTATTTGTTAATAATATGCGCTTACTAAAGTACACTTACACGTCGTACCATCGTGACGACACGCTTTGGAGTAATTTTTAATATAGTTGCGTTATGTTTGTATTGAAACGCCATTCTATCTGCGATTTATTTGGAGTTTACGTGTTCACTTGTGCCAAGTGTGGGTTTGTAAGGACATGGAACCTTTGAGCTTGATTTTATGATTCACCGTCGCTCAACCAGGCCCATAGCATGGTACAATTGAGTCAACAGGGAACGTACAACTAGCATCTCCGGCGATGATCAATGACTTACAAGCCTCAATTGCAAATTTATCCAAGTTGATTGCAGCGCAGAATTCGTCAACCGTTCCCCAACTGAAGGTCTCATGCCGCTAATCAAACAATTTAAATACCTTGCAAGAACCAGTGAATTTTTTTAAATATTTTTTTCTCAGGTGCTCCCTGTTTGAGGGCGTGACCACCTGGGTCAAAGGTGAGACCAACATGTGGTCTTTTGTTTACTACTTAGCGACTGTGTACCTGTGAGTTTATTCTGTGTGTATTTGAATGTTCTAATAATCTTGGTGTTTTCCAGTGATTTCTCTAGGTGCAATCCAAATACAGTAGGTGTGGCTTGTTTACCTGAGATTTGCAAGGATTTGATCTGGCCAACATGTTAGTTGTTTTAAAGTGGTTGATTACTGGCATGTTGATTTCCCATTTTGAGCCATGTTTTCAACTTTGTTCATCATTTTCATATAGCAATCTGGTCATATGTTAACATTGTCGTCTATGGAAATTCAATTATTGGTATGAGCCCTGAATCGACCATCTGTACAGGAAGTAATGAACGGCACTCCAAGCGGAAGTTGAGTAACGAACACACAAACGCAACTGATCGAGAACGAGGTAACGACAACAAATGCGACCTTCCTGAAGCCATGATTGGTTTCTAACCTGCTACAGACTCGAGGCATTTCTTCGGGGGACCTGCCTTACGTAGAGCTTGCTAGACATTAATTTAGCCTGCCTACTCATCCCTGGCTTTAATCAAAGTGCGACTCAACGCCACGTTTTCGCCGGAGATGAGGCCTTTACTTTGCGTGCCCCTACGGATAACAGACTTTCGCAGTCACTGTCTATTTCCGAATTTATTTTGACCTTCGGCATTTACAAAAACGTGATGTGTGAGGCTTATCCCGCACGCCGACAGGAACTTAATGCATATGAACGTGACATCGCGGAGTGGAGTCCCGTTTTGGTGGTGCGACTTTTTATCAGTATCACCTTGAATTCTTTGCGAGAGCCACGGCTCTATTGTTAAACCATAACGTGAAAGTGGACTGGTCGCGTCGTGAAAACCAACTTTACTGCTCTATTTTCGCCGGATGTCGCGCTATTTCCTGTTCTACTTGTAGGGGTGTTGGCCATTCTGCCATTTCCTGCGCTGATGCGTCAAGGAAAGTGCCTAATCAGAACATCCCACTGGCTGCTGGCAATAACAATACACTTGACAGAATAGGTCGGCTACGTGTGGCCTTCCAGGGAAAAGAACTGTGTAATAATTTTAATTCGACAAAGGGATGTAGCAAACCAAACTGCATCTTTGCTCATTTGTGCTTGTCTTGCCATGCCAACGACCACTGTGCTATCCAGTGCCAAAAGAAGGACAACCAGAAACAAGTTTGACAACATTCAGGTGTGCCTACTCCAGTGAACATTTCAAGGCTTCAACATGGACTTTTGAACCACCCTGACTCTTATTTCGTATCCTACTTGATCAGTGGCCTGTCTGAAGGGTTCGATACGGGCATACATACCCGGACTACTACTTCTCTGGCGTGTCGTAATCTGTCATCTGCTCACAACCAACCAGACATTATTTCAGAACTTGTACAAACAGAAGTCGGCAAATGTTATTTAATGGGTCCTTTCTCGACTCCCCCTTTACACATTATCGATGTAACCCCATTGGTCTAGTGGAGAAGAAATATTCTACAAAAAAGTGGCTTATCGTCGACCTGTCTTCTCTTCATGATTCCGACACACCAAGTATTAATGGTCTCATTAATAAGGAGAACTTTTCACTCAGGTATGTGAAAGTAGATGATGCTATTGTCGCAATCAATAATGCTGGTGCTGGAGCCATGTTATGCAAAACAGACATCGTAGATGCATTTAAGCTCATGCCGATCCACCCCTCCTTGTGGCATTTATATGGAATTTATTGGCATCAGTCCTACTATTTCTATCACTTGTCATCTGCGATTTGTTGGATCATAGAAAAAAACTATGGCATCAAGACTATTTTCTATTTGCTGGACGACTTCCTCACCGTTGACTTGCCAAATGTCGACACAGAAAAAACCATGGCACTCTTGACGTTGATTTTTAAACATCTAGGCATACCACTAGCACCTCATAAAAAAGTAGGTCCTAGCTGCATGGTCGAATACTTAGGAATCGAGTTGGACATGCAATGCATGCAAGCACGATTTCCCATGGACAAATTAGCCCGCATTCGAGAAATGTTATTTACCAACCACAAAACTTGCACAAAACACAACCTTTTGAGTCTGTTAGGTCATTTGAATTTTGCCTGCAGAGTCATTGTCCCTAGTAGAACTTTTATTTCCCGTCTCATTGAACTTTCAAAGGGAGTCTTCATCACCACGTCACCTTGTCTACAGAAGCCAAGACGAACTTATTTATGTGGCAAAGATTGCATCTTGTATGGAGCTTTTCACTGATGCCAGTGGTGTTGGTTTCAGGGGGTCACTCTCAAGGGCAATGGTTTAAAGCCCCGTGGTCCAACAAGCTTCTTCTGTAGAATGGCACTTCCAGGAATTGTACCCTATTGTTGTTGCTGGCATCCTTTAGGGGAAATATTGGTGTCGTAAGAGAGTGTTATTTCATTGTGACAATGTAGCAGTGGAGAACATTATCAACAAGAGGCGTTCAAAGTCACCAGCTATAATGAAACTTATGCACCACCTTGTCATTCTAGCAGCCACCAATAGCTTCACTTTCCAGGCAGAACATATACCTGGGTCCATTAACATTATTGCTGATTCTCTATCACGTTTGCAGGTTCGTCGTTCCCGGGAAGCAGCCCCAAAGCTGAGCCCAATACCTCATGAAATAATGTTCGGCTAAATGATGCTATTTTGCACTTCCAGGATGCCTCCTTCAGCACAAGGACACTCCGGTCCTATGCAACAGGAGTGTGTTCATGGCTTCGCTTCGCCATCCTCTTTGAGTGCTCCCATCCAGATATGTAATTTACTTTGTAGCTCACTGTGCTTCCAGTCTGCGATTAAAACTTTCTACGATTAAAGTTTACCTTGCATCAATTCGGAACCACTACATTCGGGGAGGCTATGGAAACCCCATGATCACATCCGAGGGCTTGGATTTCATTTGCCTATCCCATGTGTTGAGAGGGATTCACCGGATGCAGGGTTCTTCATCTTGTCCGCGTTTGCCCATAACTGTGGACATCCTTAAGCAATTATGTGTGCTTCTGCAAAGCGATGTATATGGCAGATACACATATTTACTTTTGCAGTCATCGCTCACCATTGCCTTTGTTTTTCTTCTTGCACTGCAGTGAGTTTACTGCCCTAGTGAATGCGTTCAAGCCCAATCTTCATCTCTGCATAAAGGATGTCATCATCAATAATGAAAAAGATGCAACAAAGTCCGTAACATTGCACATCAAGTCTTTAAAGACAGACCAGTTCCGCCAGGGTTTCCACCTGCAATTATTTCCAACAGGCAATGCCAATTTGTCCGATCACCACAATGTGTCACCTCCTGTCTGTTCACTACCAAATGAACGCACTACCTAATGACCCACTACTGGCTCTACCAGAAGGAACCCCATTCCACAGGGAATTTTTTATCAATGCGCTATGCATCCTGCTATAACGACTGGGTCATGATCCACTTATTTATGTCGGCCCTTCATTCCGTATTGGAGCTGCTACAACTGCTGCAATATATCAATATTCAATGCAATATGTCATATACCAGACCATCTCATCAAAATCCTAGGAAGATGGACCAATGACTGCTACCGGACGTACATCCGTGCATCTCAACAGCTTTTACGAGAAACCTTTATTAACCTGGCATCTCTATAAACCATGTTCAGACCTTTACAATCTGCATCACGGGCCACACATGGCTGTCCCACTAGCCCGAGGCACTTCTCTCCCCCTGTGTTTCGCAGTTCAATGTCACCCACGTCCCTCTCCCCCAGGCCGCACATAGCTGTTCCACAGGCCGCGAGGTTGCTACCTCCCCCTGTGCCACTCAGTTCGTGTCCCCTGGGCCATGAGAAGTTCAGTTTAGTTACCACGCAGACTGTGAACATCTGTTCCCTCTGCACCACTCCTTGGTCTGTTCATGTTTGAGTCAACCCTACTAACCCATTATTTCTCTTTCAGGTCTCTTTATTTCAATTGGGGTCACTTCGCTCCACTTGCAGCTCGTGTCCCTCATTTGGGCATTGGATGTCATCCTGATCCTCATTTCAAGGTTGGGCGGCCTCATGCAGGTTTCCCCCTCTTTCTTTTGGTTCCCGAAATCCATTGCTCAGGTGGGCACGAGCTGTCTCGGGGGGGGGGGGGGGTAGAAGTCCTCCCCCTGCTCGATTTTGTAGTTTAAAGAATTGTATTTTATTGTATTGTAATTTTAGTAGTTTTGTAGTTTGTGCCTGTAAGTCATTTTTTCTCAATAAACTTGTCTTTGCTATTCACTTGTTTACCGCGTGGAGTGTTTTTACAAATTAAACTTCATTACTGTAACAATGCTGCAATTCAACCTGGAATTGTGTTTTAATTCAAGTTTAATTGAATAAAAGTAGAATATTTAGCACCGTACTTAAAAACTTTGAAATACACGGTTATATAATTTGTGAAATTTATGTTCTATATTCAGTAGATAAACATAATAAGAGTATACTTCCATATAAGATAAAACAGCACAGCGTGACACGACTTGACGTTCATCAACAGTTAATAGTAAAATACGATTTCATCTAATGACACAAGATATCTCAAAGCAAGTGTAAACTGAAGATCA